GCGGGGACACACACACACACACACACACCCACACACACACATATATATATATATATATATATATATATATATAATCTTCTGCTCAACAAGGCTGCACTTACTTGATCAAAAATGCAGTAAAAAAATGTGAAATATTTTTACAATTTAAAATAACAGTATTCTATGTGAATATCTCCAATATTTTGTGGAAACTGTGATACATGTTTGTCTTTCAGGATACTTTGATGAATAGAAAGTTTAAAAGAACAGCAGTTATTTGTAACATTATAACATTCCAAATGTGACCTTGGAGCACAAAACCAGTCATAAGGGTCAATGTTTTGAAATTGAGATTTATACATCATTTCTACATCAAGCTGAATAAATAAGCTTTCCATGTTAGGATAGGACAGTATTTGGCTGAGATACAACTATTTAAAAATATGGAATCTGAGGGTCCAAAAAAAAAAAAACTAAATATTGAGAAAATCACAAAATCAATCAGTTGTCCATTTGAAGTTCCTAGCAATGCATATTACTAATCAAAAATTACGTTTTGATATATTTACGGTAGGAAATTTACAAAATATCTTCATGGAACATGATCTTCACTTAATATCCTAATGATTTGCAATGTAATGTTGGCTATTGCTACAAATATATTGTTTATGACTGGTTTTGTTCTCCAGGGTCACAAATGTCTTTACTCTTTCTTTTGACCACTTTAATGTGTCTTTGCTGAAAAAAACATTAATTGCTTTAAAAAAAAAATACTGACCCCAAATTTTCAACAGTATATTAATCGCATCCAAAATAAAAGTTTTTGTTTACATAATATATGTGTGCCTACTGTGTATATTTATTATGTATAAATATATGAATACAAACACATGCATGTATTTAAGAAAAATATGTTATGTTTATATATTAAATATATTTTATATAAGAATATAAATATATAAATGTATATGCATGTAAATATTTTCAAAATATATACTGTATGTGTGTGTATTTATATATACATAAATATACACAGTACACATACAGTACATATATTATGTAAACAAAAACGTTTATTTTGGATGCGATTAATCGTTTGACAGCACTAATATAAACCTTTAAAGTTGCTGTGGGTAAAAGCATCTTCCATATTAATAAATGCCCAGGGAGTGATACTCTTTCATTACCAGTAAAGCTACATAATCAACCGGCTACATACAGCAGGATGAACAGGAGAAATGAAGCTTGAGGGAGTAAATAACCAGATCGCACATTACTAGCGAAAACTAACCCATCAATCACGTCTGGTTACTCCACAAATCAGATGAACAGCACAACAAGACCAGCGGTTCAAATGAACCAGATACTGATGAGGAAGAAACATGCTGACATTAAAGTCCAAGCACCATGAAATATAACACTGTACACATACAAACTTGTATTTGCATATAAAGTGCAGCCATGAAATCCAGATGGCACTAATAAAAGGATTCATAAACATTTGGTGAGCTTGTAAATCTAAGGAATTATGATTTGCAACCCGTGTGCTACAATCACAATTTACATGCAAACATGAATAAGATCACGTCTCGCACAGAGACGGCAGGCCTTTATTAAGATCTCAGAGAGCACGTGATGTAAACGTCTCGGACAGCT